AAAAAAAATACAGTAGCGATCCTTAACCATTTCAATTTTTGCAGACTTTACCCTAATCATCGATTTATGCCAGCGCAGGTTCCAAATATTTCATAAATATGCACATGGAGTCCATTTGGATGGAAACTATCCATGAAGCTATCAGTTGACCAAAAAAAAGGACTTTGACCAATTATAATAAAATTGAGATGAGTAAAATGGTAACTTTGTATATTTATAAATATTGACAATTAAAATAATAAAACTAAAAAAAAAATCCACCCCAACACCTCCACCCCACCCATCTTCATCTTCTCCTAGAATCCAATACGTGATACTCAGGGATGACAATTTGAAACGAAAAACTTGAGCCTGTGGTGCCTTGCCCCTTACTGAGTGACGCGCTAGAGATGGGAAGGGAAATTCTAGCTCATTCGAATTGTCTAGTCATTTTAAGAAAAATAAAAAAATTGTCTATTTAGCCCATTCCCTAATTACTCTAAAATTTAGTGGGAGAATTTTTTAAGAAAATATGTAAACTTGCCATGTTCCGTTGCCATCCTAGTGGTGACTGCTAAAGGTGCAAAGTAACAATGGCAAAGGATAGACCAAAGCCAAGGCTAAGGAAGAGGTGATGAGAAAGTATAATGTTATATTTACAATTTGGGGATCATTTTCGTGTAATTGGGATGACATGATAGGCGTAAAGAGTGCTTTGTTGTAATAAGAAGGGTGATCGGAGGATTAACAGGCAAGATATCGTCAAATGAGTAAATAAAAGAAGCACTTAATTGTAAAACATTTTGTAATATTCAAAATGCTTTTTATTAAAATGTAGAGGAAAAGGCCGGGTGGTTCAACCTGAATACATTTATAATTGACTCAAACTAATTCTCGTGGGGAATTGTAAAAATATAATAATTGGTTCTACTGAAAAAATTAAAGAAATTGTACTAGACTAGAAAAAGTTTAGGTTTAAGAATGCTATCATGTTGACATCCTCTCCGACAACATATTCACAATAGAGGGGTTGAGAGCACTTAAAAATATATATATATATTCATATGGTTCTCACTCCTATGCGAGTATCGTTCAAGCAGGGTGGCAAATTCTTTCTGGTAAGAGTTTAATTCTTGATGTTAGTTCAAACTAAATTAGCTAGTCGAGTCCAATAGCTTTATGTAAAAGTGTATTTTACCCTTAGAACATTGTCACGATATAACCGCTCTACAACTACAAATTTGAGAAGTCACGTGCTACACTTGTGGGCGGAAGTTGAGCACTGGGCTGCTCACAATAATTAGTTGTTTGGGAAATTCGGGTCCGGGTCTTGCATCAATACCCGAATAAAAACTGATTCACCCGGGGGCAGATCCTTTCCTTTTATTGCTCAGTTCACTCACGCAAAATGGTTAGATAAAGTAATCCCTGGTAATCAATAACTGATGATTTGCTTGACAGATTTCTCGGTTTCGGATACGACGCCGTTTTCCTGCTCCTCCCCCTCTCCCCGCTTACTTCCTTCCCCATCAATCACTCTCGGTTTCTTGAACACTTCAGGTGAACTTCTTAATCTCAATTATTGACTTTTTCCTTATCCATTTCGCTAGTAGAGATTCTATATATGAGTGTGCGCGATATTAGGTGTTGAATTTTCAGCTACAGGGAGTGTCCAGATTCGTGATTACTCGGGAAATTCAGGAGTGCCGCAATTGAAGGAAACCCCTTGTTTTTTTTGTTCTCTGAGGTAATTTTTCAGGAAATGATTCTGATGTTGGTCCATTATTGAAGTAACCCCTTTTTTTGCTTGTTTAAGTTCAATTAGCAATGATCTGATCGTTTAGCGTCAGTAAGATTTTCTATTATAGTAAGATGATTAGTTTTGGGCTTCGAGAGATCATGAATCTGAAATTTGATTTCTGGGGTGGTAAAAGATTAATTTGCAGAAGTCTTTCATCTCTCCTGTAACCAAGAGAAGGGAACTGTCAACGTGTCCTGACAAGGGAGGTTGACAATGTATGTAATGTAGCTTTGGAGTAATTAGAAAGTTTTCAGTTTTGATGGCTGGTGGATTTTACTATGACTGTTATGTATCCTATATGAGTTAGCTCAAGGGGCGTGACTACCTGCATACAAATTATTCTGGTGCCAGAAACCAGATTTGATCAGGTGACATAAGGATTTTTAGTCTTCTAGCTGAGCTATCTGGAGCATTCCCTTTGTAGCATCCAAAATCCAACCCTCATTATATTTCTGGGTTCTGTGTCAATCGAAAGGACAAAGGGGAATTACAGATTTTTATTCAAGCCTTTGTAAACTTAATAAAGATTGCTTTTGTTTGTTTTTTCTTTTTCTAATTTTGTTTTTGGCAGTAGCAGAAGCTAATTTTGATGGCAGACCTTAAGGAGCGCCTGCTCCCACCCAGACCTGCATCAGCGGTGAATATCAGAGATCTGTCGTATAGACCGTCTGCCTCTGGCCGACAACCATTTCAAGGAGTGGATGTTTCAGGCCTGAAAAAGCGTGGGCAAGGCCTTCGGTCGTGGATACGTGTTGATGCATCTGGGAATTCTCAAGTGATCGAGGTTGACAAGTTCACTATGATGCGTCGGTGTGATCTTCCTGCACGGGATCTACGTTTACTTGACCCGCTGTTTGTTTACCCCTCCACTATTCTTGGAAGAGAGAAGGCAATTGTTGTCAATCTTGAACAGATTCGATGTATCATCACTGCTGATGAGGTTTGGCTCTTAAATTCTCTTGATAGCTATGTCCTCCAGTATGTCGTGGAGCTGCAGCGGCGATTGCAAGCTTCAGGAGTAGGTGAAGTTTGGCAATCAGATGGTGCTGAATTGAACAAAAGGAGAGGAAGTAGAAATTTTGATAATATATTTGGGAACGCATCACCTGATTACTTGCCATTTGAGTTCAGAGCTCTTGAAGTTGCTCTGGAGGCTGCCTGTACATTTCTGGATTCTCAGGTACATGTTAGAAATAGCGGCTAGTAAAACTTCCATTGCATGTATTGATTGCTTCTGTAATGAAAATTTGCCAATGGTAGACTTGTGAAAATATTACTGCCTGAAAAATTTCCTGACATTGTAGTTTGTCTTTTTTTTTTTTTTGTGAAACAAGCCAGTAATCATCACGTGAGAGAAGAACCATATGCTCCAGATAATGGGAAGTTGAATATAAATGAATAGCTTATGTCTTCTAACTTGAATCGATAAACCGTCTGAAAAGAGAAGGCATGTGACAGATTATGAGGTACTGGTTGAATGTGATGTTTCAATGATAGAGCTTGGCGACTTTAGGATGCTTTTCAAAGTGGCGCTTACACTTGTAGATAGATGCATAGAGCAAAATGCTAAATTATTATGTTGTCTACTCATAGTGAAAGTTCCTGCTGACACTAACTTTAATAGACCTCATCAAGAAGGAAAATTATGGGAAGCAGTTTATATTCTTCAGCATAGGCATAAGTACACATTTCAGTTCTTGTGGCTTGTGCATACTGTAATGATCCTAGCATGTGTATTCTTCTCTGATTTCCTAGCTAGCTCCATTTGCTACTTCTATGCCACATACATTATGAGATGGTTGATTTTACCAGATTCCGAGGTTTCTCTGGTATGCTCAATCTTCTTGTTGTACCCAAGTGATGGAACGGGATGTACTGGAAGGCATAAGAACAAGAGATGGTCTTGTACTCTTTAATCTGGAAATGGAAATAGTAATAACCACCAGATAACATAGATTAAGAGTTATGTGGGTTTTTCCCTCACTTTTCCTTGTGTTGAGGAGAAGTGAATTTGAAAGATAATATGTAGGAAGAGAGAATGACAATCATTAGAGTAACTTGATGGAGTGTATAATCCCCTAGATGATTAATGTTGACCTTTTATTGAATTGTTAACTAATTCAGAATAGTGATGAAGAATGTTGGAATTGGTGCTGATATTTACCTTATAGCTCAACTTCGAGTCTTTCATTGAAAATGAAGATGCATGGTATTTGATAAGTGGTGAATGTAAATAGATTATGCTTGTAGTAGAGAATCTTTAATTTTAAGATCTGGAGAAGAACTATATCTTCGTACTAATGGGGCCATGATGGAACAAAGAAACTAAAAAGTCTTGCTCCACTACTTTTTAGCATTTGAAGAACTCTTCGTCTCACATTATTAGCTTGAAGCACATATTGTTGACATTGTTTAAACATAATTCACTTGATATAACTTGATTAAGGAAGAGAAGTGAACTGATACTGATATGTGCCACTTATCCATTGTTGAATTTACACTATACTCCAAGATTTGAGCATACTAATTTGACAATGAATAAGAAAAGGAACAAGAAAGAAAGGGGATCAAAGAAGAGAAGAATTGAGGACAAATAGGAAATCAATGTTATTCATATAATCAAGAGTTATCTATTACAATGAACACACCCTCTGTATATGGAGCAAATAAACTAAAATCAAAAGATTATCTAATAAATTAGGACTCTAAACAAAATAAACCTAACTTGAATTAAACTCTATAATAAAATCGTATTTATCTTCTATCTATATCTCCATCTGTATCTTCATCAAAATGTTTGCTTCTTTTGGTAGAAATTAATATTTGGTATTTTGTATTTGCAAGCATATACTTTGACAGTATAACTCATAAATTTTGTTCTTGATTTGTTTTTCACCATGAAATTTTTTAATAAACTATTTCACTTGGACTTGAAAAATATTTCTTACCAAATAGCAACCCAGCAGCTCCTAAAAAAGGTAAAACCCACAAAGTAAATAAATAATCTATTGCTGAAGTATCCATTTCTCCTTTGTATTGTTGTGAATATACTTTTAATGTAGGAATAGTTATGGTGAGATGGATACCGCAGGTCAAAATAATGCCATCACTGTGTTATAACAGTACTCATTTATTATAATGGAACTTGAAGGTGCCTGGACACTATGCTTAATGAAAGCACAGGTTTCAAAAATGATTGTGTGATACCTTCATTTGAGTTTTATATATTATATATTGATTGGTAAATTGGTTTCCTTAGATGAAACCTGATATGAGGGAGATGCTTGTGTGATGTCCAAAAAAGCTAAATTTCCAAATACTATGTAAGCCTATTTGGGTATCATTTAATACAACAGTACAGATTATAGACAATTCAATGGCTAGTTAGGATAATGTTTCAAGTTCAACGACATCTATATTTCTCTTATTCAGGGTCGTAATGTTTTTTCCTAGCAAAGATGTTATTTTTTTTCAACAATTCATTTTAAACTATTATAGTATTTTAAAATGCATTTTTGAAAATCTTTGAATTGATCAGGCTGCAGAATTAGAGATTGAAGCTTATCCATTGTTGGATGAACTCACGTCAAAGATCAGTACACTGAACTTGGAACGAGTTCGTCGATTGAAAAGCAGACTTGTTGCGCTTACTAGGAGAGTTCAGAAGGTATGATTTTTTTCTTGAAATTTGAATCTTATCTGAGTCCATGATCCTTCTCTGATGTCTTCCTCCAATTTTCCATTGTTATCATCTAGGTTAGAGATGAGATAGAACAGCTAATGGATGACGATGGAGATATGGCTGAAATGTATCTTACTGAGAAGAAAAGTCGAATGGAATCATCATTTTATGGTGATCAATCTTTGATGGGATGCCAATCTAATGATGGCGTAGTTTCTTTTTCGGCTCCAGTTTCTCCTGTTTCTTCACCCCCCAACAGCAGGAAGCTCGAGAAGAGTCTGAGCATCGCCCGGAGCAGGCATGAAAGTATGCGGAGCTCGGAGAGTGTCAAAGAGAGTGTAGAAGAGCTTGAAATGTTGTTAGAGGCCTACTTTGTTGTCATTGACAGCACCCTCAATAAATTGACTTCGGTATCATTTATTATCGTGAATAACTTTTTCAGCTTTATTCCCTTCCCATTGAAACCTGTTTTTCAATTCATATTCTTCTCTAATTACAGCTGAAGGAGTACATTGATGATACAGAGGACTTCATCAACATTCAGCTGGTATGTGTCACTTCTTAAAAATTTCTGATATTATTGATTGATGTTTAAGCAGAACTGTGTTAAATAGGTCATTTATTGACCCAAAAGATAACCAAATGGAATCCATCCCCGTAACTTGGTAAAGCTAGGTGTTCTGGTCCTGCTATTCAGAGGTTCGATGCTTCTGTTTGAGAGCCATATCCTTTTTTTTAGAATAATAACTTTATTCTAAAAAATGGATATGGCTCTCAGACAGTCGAACATCAGATACATGTTTAAGTGGGGGTGCTTTATTTGTTTTAGTGAAGTATATGAGATGAAATTGTGGGATTTTTCTTCAGGCTTAAAGGATCTAATGCAAGTCCGTGTCTTTTACATAGATTTTCTCTCTAATTATTAAAATGCATATGTTTCAACCATTATATCCATGTTGAAGTCCAAAATAGAACTGTCTTAACTCTTAATGGTTTTGACATTTAATTAGTTATTTCTGAAGGGAGACGAATTCAAATAACATGATTAGTGCTTCCGAAAGCCTGAGTTAGACGAAACAATTATTCATTGTCTTTTGAGTTCTTCACCCATTAATGAGCTAACACAATTTTGAAAATCTGTGTGCAGGATAACGTTCGTAACCAGCTGATACAGTTTGAGCTTTTACTTACTACTGCAACATTTGTTGTTGCAATATTTGGCGTAGTTGCTGGGATATTTGGTATGAACTTTGCAATACCAATGTTTGATTATCCAGGAGCATTCAAATGGGTTCTGATTATCACTGGAGTCACTGGAATTGTCATATTTTTCTCATTTTTATGGTATTTCAAGTATAGAAGATTGATGCCACTATAGATAGTGTACGAAATAACAAGCATTATGATGCTATTTTTCTCATTAACTGGTTTTGTTTTTCAATTGTATATTTTCCATTTCCTCTTGCCCAAGGTCTATAAGTTTTGCTGGGATTGCTGTTCAAATCAAATGTCGCCATCTGATAATATAGCTTGAGGACATTTCCGGATGAGACTTTTATGAAGACCGTTCAAACAAGCACAGGTTAACTAAATGGTATTTTCGTAGTAATCGGGGGTTATGTATTTTCAGTTTACAGGGCTTGTTCGGCATCCGCAGTCAGGGAGAAAATCACCCGTTTGATTGATTAGGTTCCTTTTAGATAAAAAATAATAATAATCTATAAGAATAATATTTTCTTCGAACTCCAGTAGAACTTCCATTATGGTAAACATATGAAATGTAAAAACTTGAAAAGGAATACAATCACTCCAAATGCTAGAAACATTAACGACTGCAGCATGAGTAGCAAGAGGTCAGCCAATTTTTATTTTCATTTCTAGAAATGAATTGACAAGAACCCCAATTTATAATATTAATAATAGTGATTATATCATATAAAATAATTAGAATTAACCTTGGAGGTGGTTGAGTTGGTGGAGCAAGTGAATGCGGAGATCAAAGGAGTTCGAATTCCCCGTCAACAATTTCTCGGTCGAACCCGTCGTACCGAGCTTGTTTAGTGTGGTTTACCTCTCCTGTGTGATTTGCAGGCTACTGCACATAAAGTGGGGTTTACGTAATGCATACTCACGGTGATCGAGATTTCGCTGGCGGATAGCGGCTGTTGGTTCCGACGTCAACAAAAACAAAAAAAAAAATAATAAGTAGAATTTTACTCAACAAACAATTAAACACTAATTTTATCAATTTTGTAAGAGCTTGTTTGATAACATTGTTTGTTAAAATTTATCAACCGGACAAACTTGAATTTAACCACACAGTTAACAAGACATGCAACTTTTATCAAAATTTTCAACTACACGTTTTATCAACTCAAAATCCGTGACACAACCTCTAATGATCAACACTTGAATGAAGATTGGAAGCAAGCTTTGAAAGAAAGAAGTATGTCTTATTCGTTGATCCAACGCAACTAATAAACAAACTAATTGAGGAGGAAAACTAAACAGAAATAAATATAAATCTGTTGGAAAAACTGGATAAAACCAAGTTAAATTGCTGACTTTGGCACTAATTTTGAGCGGGACCCGCTTGGCTATTTTGAAAGATGAAAGTTGATTTGTGTTCTCCTCCGTGAGTACATCGAAATCATATACTTACTTGTCAAAAATGATGCTCGGTTGAATGAGAAATTGAAGCTCAAAATATGCCGTGTGAAAGGAGTTTATGTTGGTGGGAAAACTAAAAATAAGGTTTGTCCCACATAGGAAGTGGATGAAATCTAAAACCACTTTATAAAGGATTGCACTTTAGAATGGTGTAATCATGTGTAACATATAGGCTCTCTCCATGTGCGCACGTAGGGGGTGCAAATAATGGACTGAAATAGGTTTCGGACCTTGAACTTGTGTGCGAGCGCGACCAGCGTACACGAATGTCGGACCGAAATGAGCAAAATTGGCCCCTTAGAAGTGTCCACGTTTTGCTACATTTTTTAATTTTTTCAACAGATTTTTGATTTTCCAAAACTGTTGAAACTCCTAAAACTCCTGTGGTAATTGCCTTGAAATGAATAGGCAAGTTACAAGATCCAAAACTTTTATACATCTCGTTTTTTCCATTGTTCAGTGCACTAAATTCATTTGCATACAGTTTGGGTTTGTCTTCAGTTTTATTTCCTGTTTCTGTTTGTTTTGGTGATATTGTTTGGGCACTCATCCAGTTCGCAAGAGTATAATCCGTGGTGCTCAAATTGTGCTGCTTTGTCGTTGTATTCTCGGAAACAGACGCTCATATCATACCTCAAGCACGTACGGTGAGGGGGAGAATCTGTTTTAAGAAAACTGTGTATCACATAGACTTCGGGTTAAAAGTTGTTTGCTTTTATTTAGTTTTAATTATCTATATTGCTCGTCTTTTGCAAATTCATAGTTCTGCAATTTTTCTTTACGTTGTCAGTTGTTAAAACCTGTTATGAAATGCAAATACGATATGTGTAAATAAAGTGTTTAAGTATACTGTATTCAAACTGCTAATCCGGTATACATTCTGCAATTCGATATCCAAGTAATTTGAAACAATTTGCCTACAAAATCTACATCGAGTCGACAAGCTTCAATGTGTTGGCTTCAAATTATAACCCCCAAGCAATCGTACTACTGCAAATAATTAATATTCAAGTAATCTGGATGAGATCGATGTTTTGCACCGTCAAAGCAACAAAATTTTGGCAGATGTAACTGCTTTCCCTCAAGTACATTTGATAACCATAAAAAGAAAAGCATAACAAACCAGGGAACGAGAATTTTCAAGCAGACAAGCACTGGAAAATAAATATTCACTTTGGATGGTTTTTTTCCTTCATTAATTTCCTATAGAAAAACAAGAATTCATGTCTCTTTGTGATCTCCCACAATAGGAAGGTAGGTAATTTTGCTGACTAAATATGGTATTGGAAAACAAACGAAATACCAGAATCGCTCAATACCTCTTTGTTGAAAATTTGAGCCAAATAATAAAGACAAGAAAATAAGGGCAATATGAAAAATAATGGATGACACAACAACCAAGATTTTGTGAAAGAATATGAAAATTTATTATACAAAGAAACTAAAATAGTATTTACAAGATTTGATTCTCTCAATTTAAATCTAAACAATTCTTTCAAATTTCTAATATATACAACAATGATCTAATTGTTATCTTGAGTGGCCTATACCTCGTGGAGAATTTGTAGGAGCCAAATGTTGGAATTATGGATGAAGTAGAATCATTAATCTCAAAGCCCTTACATCAATCAAACTTTCAAGTCACATGAAATTTGAGTCACAATCATTTCAGGAGTGTGAAGAGAATCTTTCGTATTTTAATACAACTAAATCCAAGAAATGTCACCAAAATATGTGTATTAAGTTTCTATCCAAAAACTTTGCCAAAATATCTCCAGCATTAATTGTTCAATGTATTTTCTATTTTTTCAGAAACATCATCTTGTTTGATGTGTGCAAGTTTTCGTGTTTTGATTTTTAGAATTTGACTTTTTCAGTTTAGATGTGGCATTTGGAGCCTTGGTTGTATAGTGTGTTTGACATCTGAATTTTTGAAATATCAGCAAAATCTCGAAATGGATTATAATAATGAGTTGTGTAGGAGCTAGCCGTTTGAAGTAGGGAGATCCCAAAATTGAAGATATAGAAATGAAGGAGTGGGGGGCCATGGGCTGTCCCTAAATTTTTTTTTGATACCTTATTAACAAAAAAATAAAAAAACATATAAAAGAAAGTATCAATATTTAGGGTGTGTTTAATCTACATTATTTGGAAAGAACGTATTCTGGAATAGTAGATTGATGAAGAATTTGTGGTTGAAAAAGAAGGAAAAGTTATTGATGTAATGGAAAATATTATTTTATTGAAGAATGTGTGGTTGAAAATGAGTAGAAAAATAAGAACGAAAATTTTACTGTATACCAAACAGAGTATTAATTTAGGAAAATCATACCTTATTATAAGTATTCCTTTCGAGTTCTAATACTTTGAAGACGGAAACGAAAAATACGGAAACGAAAAATGAAATTGGTAAGATTTAAGATTTTTATTCAATTTGAGAACAAAATGATAATCGTAAATACAAAAAGAATAAAAAAAAATGAAGTTTTAAAATTAAAAAAAATTGTCAAAAATTTGGGGGCTCCAGGTCCCCCTAGGACTCCCCCCTCCCCGCTCCGCCATGGCGTTGACGTTATATTTTCCTTCAAATTTGATGAAATCTCGAATGGACAACAGATACCAAAATTAGTAGAAAATGTCGCAATTTTAGCGAGTGGTGGAACGATTAAAAATGTCGTTTGTAATGAAAACTTCGAATTGGATCCCAAAATATCGAAATATTGGAAATTTGAAGCATGTGTCGAATATGTTAAGGGATAAAATCTTATATCGAATAAAGATGAAAATATAGACCAATTTCTAAGAGTTTGAGTTATTCCTCTTAATAAGGTTGACATTTTAAGATGGAACTCTAAATCTTAACTGGGTATCAGAGTCCATTAAACTCCAACGAACAATTCGATCCGATTAAGACTCAAAAAAAAATTGAACGCACAGATTTTAAGATTGGTCTACTCAAACGAGCCACTATCTTGAGGAGGTATGTTAAAGGATAAAATCTTATATCGAATAAAGATGAAAATATAGACCAATTTATAAGAGTTTGTATCAATCATCTTAATAATGTTGACCTTTTAAAATGAAACCCCAAATCTTAACAGAATTTACTGGGAAGCTGTCAAATGTTGTAGCAAAATTATTGAAATGGAAAGTAATCTGTTTATGTTACTGTACATTTCCTTAATTTTTACATGGGATAGTAAGGCTGGACATTAGAGTGTCTACATAATGTAACATATTTAGGTGTGTTAGCGTAGGTTAGCTAGGCGAGCTTACGCTAAGCTGTTTGCATGGAAAAACCAAATTCATCAAATTTTAGCATTCTCTACAATTTTCTTGTACTAATATTTCTTCAATATTATATCATTGTTAATTTGTTTTCAAATATTTGTTTTCAATTTCTATTAGTTGTGCTTATACCCAAATCTTAACAGAATTTACTGGGAAGCAGTCTCTAAAGAAAAATGAAAAAAAAAATATATTGAATATATTTCTAAATCTTGGAAGAAAAAGAAGAGAGGAATGGAGAGCATATTTGAAAAGCAAAGGTAATTATTGTGAAAATGACTTCACTTGAAAATAAAAAAATTGACAGTACCTAATATAAAATAGTAATGCTATATTTACACATTTGATTCACGTTCACTTTCACATCCCTCTCACATAGGGGATGAGGTGAGCAATTTTAAAAATTACGGGCACCACCCC